ATAATATAATATAATATAATAGCATAGAATAGAATAGAATATAACATAATAGCATAGAATAGAATAGAATATAATATAATATTATATAATCATATTCTAGTAAGTTAGTAAGGCTTAGTAAGGGTACAGCACATCTTTTTTTGGCGATGGGAGCTGCAGGAGTGGTCGTGAACTTAATTAATCTAGCGAGAATTCGCTCTTGGAGACTTCATACAAACCCAGGCCAGAACCCTCGCACGAGAGTTCCAGGAGAAGGATCCGCGCTTGCGAGCAGCAACTGCCGGCCAATCCAAGAACCCCGAACTCCATATCCTAGCTTCCCAGCATTGCTTCCCAAGCTCGGACCAACACGAACATGCCTCGCCTGAAGCGTTCGCGGGCGAGGCCCGAAATTTCTGACATTCCCTGAACCAGAAAAAAGCCGATTGTCCTGTTGTCCGCCAGGCTGTGCGGTTCCAGACAGACTCCAACGGCCAGGAAAAGCCCGTAGGCTTTCATGGACTTGTGGGATCCTCGTCTGCAGATTCGGCTGGGAGGTGTCGGGTCCCCTCGTCTTGTAGTGTGCAGATTTATAAGAGGTAGTTGTACATATATATATATATATGTATGTATACACACGCACACATAAGGTAGTTACCTGTACATATAAGGCTTCCAGCGTGCCATGTTTGTTAGATCAACCCTGGCCGTCTTAACTCGTTTGATTACTGTGGGAAGGAGTTTCGGGTTGTTCTATTTTATGGGCACTGGGAACGGCAAGAGAACGGATTATAGCAAGTACCGTGAAGAAAGGGGTGGGCCAAGCTTTCCGACTTGATGTCCAGCGTTGGCATCCCCTTGGCAAGGCAAGTCCTTCCGCCCACCGGAGCTGCACGACCACAAGCCCTACCTTGCAACGAAGGTGGACTCCTGGTGCTTGGGAGCCGTGGCTGAAAGCTGGAAGAGCTGAGCTTTTCCAACAGTGGAGCTGCAATGTCCATCTCAAAAGCTGAGCCGCAGGCTGCTAGCAGCTAGCCAAGATGTGGCCGTGATGATGGTGACAGCCGTGGTGATGGTTTTATGCTCAGGCTGCTGAACAAAAGTTGAATCGAGGATGGGAGTGATGATGATGGTTGTGCTGCTCATGATGATGATGATCGTGATGAGGATGATGACGAGACATGTGCATCGGCCTGATGCCAGTGATGATAACGGCAATGTCGGCGATGATGAGGAGTCAGATGCTGTCTGATAGTGGATGGTAGCACCGATGACAATGCAGACTGTCTTTAGCCGTGTCTCTAACTACTTTACTGATTCTTCGATTGATTGTATGAAGTTTTGTTTCGATGCCAAAGAACCGAGGCTGGAGCACCTTTTACCTGCTTACGGCGCAGCCGCTTTTCATGAGCGCCGATCCTGCGCTCAAGGACGCTGGAAGCCATCAGGGAATGCTCCCAGAGCGTTTTGTTGGCTCGACCCGCAACCCAAGACTTGGGTGGCAGGGACTAAACCTTGAGTGATGGCTGCATTGCTGGAAGCATCTATTGGCACATCCTGGTCAGCTTCCAAGAAGCTGGACGATCAACAGCAGTAGCAGCAACAACCACAACGGTGCTGCTGCTCATGCTCAAGGCTCATGCTACTGCTCCTGCCGCTGCTGTAGACTGCAGCTGCTGCTGCTGCTGCTGCTGCTGCTGCTGCTACCGCTACTGCTATTGCTACTGCGACGACGATGTCGACGAGGAGGACGACGACGACCGCGACCTGTAACTGTAGCAGTTGCAAAAGCAGAAATAGGAGTAGGAGTAGGAGTCGCAGTCGGAGTAGTGGTCGGAGTAGGGAGTAGCAGTGGAGTAGGCGTAGGAGTAAGTGTGAAAGGAAAAGTAGCACTAGTAGTAGTAGTAGTCGTCGTCGTCGTCGGCGTCGTTTTCGTAGCAGTAGTATGTGCTCTGGACAGCTCCACAGCACGTCCTTTTAAGTACCCTTGTGACCGCCCTTCCTGGTCGGAGGACACCGACTGGCAGCTCTTTAAGCCTCTTGGCTTCCAGGTTTGGGGCTTCAGTGAAAGGAGCCGTTTTGCTAAAATGATTTTACAGAGTTGGGGGTCGACCCTGTGTTGTGCAGACTGCACGAACTAGATCCTAGACTCCTGATGCCTTAGACCATAAATCGCCTACCCCTGAACCCATAAGCCATGAATTCAGGGTTTCGGCCCAGGAGCGGCAAGTTTGACGAGCTTTTCAAAACAAAGTCGCCGAACTTCTCGCAGCTTGGAAGCACTCAGGGTGTTGAGAGCACTGCCTAGTGACTAGTGACTACTGAACCATCCAGAATCAGTAAGGCTCGGGTTTTGGGCCTGAGCTTGAGTTTGCACATGTCTTTGATCATTATTACTATATGCTCATGAGTGATGAACTGTGTGTGCGATTGAGTTGCTTCCAACATGTGTTGCGCCAAGTAACAACATCAGTATCGGTCGAGTCGTGACATGTGGTACGCTCAAACCTGAACCCTGCCCTAAACGCTAAACTGTAGGTTTTGAGTTGCTCAGTTGCGATGCGATGCCACACCAGGCCAACTGGGATTGACTTCATCTTCAAACTACTGCAGTTTGAACCTTCCAAGCGAATGTCAATTGCAGATGCTTGCAGCTTGGCGCAATGCATGGCTTTTGATTTCATGAGCCGCTCGTGCGAGAGACGCAATTTGTGAAGCGTGCGGCTCCCTGCCTGCCCCTCTCTCTCTCTCTGTCTCTCTGTCTCTCTCTCTCTCTCTCTCTCTCTCTCTCTCGGCCTGAAGATGTTCATGTAATATGCACCGCAGTTAACGTTTGAAAGAAAGATGCAGCACAATGTCACATTGTCGTGAATCGTCAAACGACTCCAAGCACTCCTGCACCAAGGCAAACATGCACCTCGGATGCAGCAAGACATGCCTGCCCCACATGCCAGCTGTGAGAGTGCAAGATGTTTAGAATTTAACCAAACTGCCGACAGCGAATCGTAGTTGTTAGCCTGGCGTAGAAGTTCAAAGGTGCGGAGTCTGCAGGTATTTGCGGGCTGGGGTATGAGGGTCAAGGCCATGAGCTCTCGCCTGCCAAGGCTTGGTTGAATGATGCCAGCGTTCAACCAGTTCCGGCACCCAAGGACGCTGTTTGTGACTGCGCTTTGCAAACAGGGGTTGGTCGGAGCCGCAACCTTCCATGCTCAATGTTGTCACGCTAGCTTCGAGTGCTTGGAGCCTTGGGTGTCGTGTCGGAGCGGAGGAGCTGCTCCCTGACTCCCTGATCCGAACCAACGAGGCCGCAGAGAGTCAGAAGAAGCGCAAGCCGCGCATCCCAAAAGCTTTTCTGTGGAACTCTGGGAGAGTGGAGGGAAAAGGGATGGGGAGAGGAGAGGGGAGGGAGAACCAACAGCAGGGACTTTATCAAACCCCGTCCAGCTTCGCTCCGCCAGGTCCAGGTGCCGGCGCCGGTGCCCTCAAAACCCACTCCGCCCCCTGCGGAGCGTCCCGACTTTATGGGAGGCCGAAGTGGGTGCCCTTGAAAGGGAGAGATTGCAGAACGAGTCGTCGATTTGTAGAGAGCGCTCTCCTGCACCCGAGATGCAACCACCCACAGTGCCATCGAAAGACTTAGGCCAAGCTGGTTAGAGTTCCACGTCAGAGCCTCATTTACCTCCTCCTCTTGTTGAAGGCTCGCTCTCTGCCAGCATTCCCTCCATGACGGCTTCCTTGGGAGCTCCTACCATTGGGTCACCGATGAGGCGCGGAAGGGCAGGAAGCGTGATGTGGTCCTGAAGTTGGATTGCGGCATTACATTTTTCTTGTGGTGGCGGACATTTAGGCCGATGACGCACACTCTACCGACCTGGTCCGCTGCGCCAATACAAGGCACTGGGGAGATGTAGCTTCAGCTCCTGTGCCAAAATGTCTCTCATGCCGAGGACCCGTGAAAAAGATTCCGCGTCCAAGTGCCATCAGACCCAAGTCCCGTCAGGTGTGGTGTCCACGACCACCAAGATGGTGGCCCCCCGCACGCCACTTATGCACCTGGTCCGCACCAGCCGTTGAGTGCTCCAGCCGGATACCCAAGTTTCAGGGCCAGGTGCATTGAGAACTCATCTGATCTTCCCCGGCCCTGTGCTTTAGCAGTCCCATCGTACGACCCAATGTTTGCGCCACGGAGCTCGCACGCTGCAAACCAGCTGCAAAAAGAAAAGGAGAGTTCGAAGTCCATCGAGCCGATCCCCACGAGCCTTGGTGAGCAAGCACGATCTTGGGGTTCTCGTGGTTTTTCTCGCTGTCCGAGCTTTGATGTCTCTGCTTTTCACGCGAATTGCTGCTGTCCCATGCGTGGGAGCTGTAGTCCCGCAGTCACGACAACAGATGCAGAAAGGCAGCCAGGCTAAGAATCCGACGAGCCCCTTATGAAGCCCGTATCGTGAAGTCTTAGAAGAGTTCTTGAAATCCTAGAACCCCAAAACCCGCCGCGAAGACCAGCAGACCTTGCCCCGAGGCCAAAGCTTCGCAGCGGAGGTTCAGATGGCAGCCGCCTCGGAGGTTCTGGGAGCCTAGGGCGCAGGATTCGAACGCCCGGAAAGGCCCAGTAGACGGAACGTCTGAAAGATCATCGGGAAACAATAGGGTCCCAGTCCACCGCACATAAAACCACCCGAATCAGAGAAGATCCTCAGCGCAAGCGCCGCTAACCTGTGTTCTGATTTGGCTAACTTGTGGTTTTCTGATGCCCCTGTGGTGGATTAGCCTGTGTACGGCAGGCCTTATAGTCATACCCCCCATAGCAGCCCTCTTGTAATAACCCTTATACTATATGACCTCTTAGATAGCCCTTGGGGGAACCCTTGTCGTAAGTAGTCCTAACAGTAGCCCTTGTTAAATATCACACCCTTATCGTACATAGTGCTGACAGTAGCCCTTGTTAATAAACGACCCTTGAACAGTAGCCCTTTGAATCACCCTCATAGTCGACAACCCTCATCGTATATGACCCTAACAGTGGCCCCTTTCACCGACCATTACAGTATGCAACCCCATCGTTTATTACATTGACAGTCGCCCCTTTTCAATGACTCTTTTAGTTTGCAACCCTCAGTGTATAAACGCTTACACTAGGCCCCCGTTCAATGACCCTTGTAGTTTCCAACCCTCATTGTTGCCAACAGTAGCCCGTTTAAATAGCGCCAATGAAGGAAACACTTCATCGTATGTAGCCCTAACGGTAGCCCTCTTTAAAGCAACCCTTGCCGCTCGGATACAACAATTCCAGTAGCCCTTAACATAATCCCTTGACGCAGTCCTGCCGCTCTTCATCCTGAGGCGCAGAGCGCCGATCGCCGGAGTCGAGCCTTTCAGCCTCAGAGGAGGTCTCAGAGGAGCGGTGGCGGCTTTGTCAGGGCTCAGGGCTGGGTTTAGGGTTTGGGGTTCTAGAGTCGTGGGTGTTTATGGTTGAAGGTTGGGGCTTAGGAAGGCAGCGTGTAGGGTTTATGAGTAGGGTGAAGGGCGGCTTAGACAGGATCTTGCGTTGGATTCTCGGACTGTTGCAAGGGGACGCATCTGTTCGTGTCCTCTGTGTTGTCGTGCTGCGAAGAAGCGACCCCGGATCATGCTGCTTACTTCTCGCAGGGGGAGTTCTTGAATTTCCCAGAGGCTTTGTCCCGGAGAACCTCAGGGCACAGCTGGCCATGTCATGCGCTTCCGCACTCCAGGACCGCCTACTCTGGAGCCTATGCCGCTTGGAGAAAAGCACAGCCGAAGCTAAACTCCCGGCCGCCGGCTGGGGGAGCCCGAAGATGTTTTAAAGGCTTTGTGGTTTAATCAGTCCCACGCTCAGTCGAGCAGGTGGCCCACAGAACTCTGAAGCCTCTAGGTCTCAAGCTTTCATCCTTCATTTGTGACAAGCCTTCATTAACCTAGCAACTTCTCGTGTTGTTAACACGTCGCTCTCTCTCTCTCTCTCTCTCTCTCTCTCTCGCTCTCTCGCTCTCTCGCTCTCCCTCCCTCTCCCTCTCTTCCTCGCTTCTTTCTCTGTCTTTGAGTTCACTTCTCTGCCTCCCCGTCTCTGTCTGTCAGGTGGTGGCCACAGCCCATTCACCAGCTCCCATGGCACTGCGTGGCACATCGGGGCGGGCTCTGCCGCACGCGCCATCGGCTGGAGACTCTTGGGCGGTACTTGGTCTGGGTTGAGTCATTGGAGCTGCTTTTGCGAGGCTTATCTTTGGTTGCTGCTGTGGCAGTAGCCACACCAATGTACTAACTGCAAAAAACATCGACCTCAACAAGGCTTCCAGCCTTCGGCAGTGGATCCCCGCAGGCAGACAGTCCCGACTTGGGATGGCAGCCCCAGTCCTGACACGACAGAGTACCACCCCACCCAGCTTGTTTCAGTCTTTGATGGGGAGAGCAAGTAGTCTTGATTTCAGCGAGAGCCGGACGGGCACGTGACACCATGTGTCCAGACCCAGACTCCAGATGCAAAACAGGCTGAACCAACAACAAACTGCCGAGGAAAACCATGGTGTGGTGGCGGGCCACAACTACTACAGCCTCTTGGGGCAGATCTGTGCTTCTTGTAGCTGGCGTTGTGATAAACTTGGCACCCCAAGCTATGGATATGCGCATACAGTAGCTTTGAGGAAGTGCTCTGCCGCCGTTTCGACGTAGATGAACATATTCAGTTGCGTACAGTATCTAGAATTCAGCATCTAGTGCATGGCATATACATGTGTAGCATGTGCTGTTGGATGCATCTGCAGGAACTCTTTGCACGAATGCCGTCCTGAGGTCATGATGGTGCACGTGCGAACTTCATCGCCACACCCAGGCGCTGTCCCCGAAGACTCGCAACACCCTCGACCCCAAACCGGCTGGCATCGCGATTTCTCTGATCAGGGTCCCGCCAGTGGGGGATGAGGGTGAAGATGGTGTAAGGTGGTGAATCTTTCAGTAGAGGGCCCTGGCCAGAAGCCTCAGCCTGTAAGGCATTCCGACTAACCGAACAGGGCAGGAGGAAAAGGGGTGACAAAAAAAAACAAAAACCTAAAAAAGAGTTTGCAAGGATGTAAGGGCCCAGGAGCGGCAGGAAGATGCCCTGCGTTTCTTCGGAGCACGCTCTTGGAGACTCGGGGGTTCTTGGGCCCAAGTCTTAGGGAGTTGCAGGTTAGGGCTTAGGGTTTGGGGTGCAGGATTTGGGGGATTTAGTTCTTGGCCCGAAGTTCTTGGCTTTTGCGCGACAGGACCTAGGGCCTAGGCTTCAAGAAGGCTGGTGGTTTCAGTTTCGCGTGAGTCAGCCGAGAAGTGACTGACCCCCCACATCACAATTGTGCTCCATGCAGCCTGCTCGGGGGAAATATTCCGGTGCGGCTTCGTTTGGAGATTCTCGTTACTTGGGTTTTAGAGGGAGGTCCAGGTAGGCAGCACTGCAAAGTGCAGTCTTATGGTGGGGCTGGCCTTGTTGTGAAACCCCTTTGGCGTCGTGTCCCAGGCCGATTGCAAACGCTCGAAGCAGATTGAGCCTCGAGCATCCCGATGCCAAAGCCAGGAAACCCTAAACCCTGAACTTGCATGTGCAGTTGTTTCACTTTGACGTTAACTCATCATTCGCCTCGCCTGGATTGTCCGAGTGTGAGA